TTAATGCTAAATCAGCTACCTGTACTAGGCAAAGGAAAAAATCATGAAGAAAATATTTTTCTTACTGTGGGTCATAGGCATGAAAGCCATTCCCTTCTAATTGCTTAAACACTTGAGCTTAATGATGGTGGTGATAGTAACTGCAGCACTGTTACTTTGAAAACCTGTAAGCATCCCAGCTGTGAACCAAGTAGGCAGTAGCTAAAGGCTAGAGAAAAGTCAAAAGAATTAACCAGATTTATATATAATGCATGAGACTCAAAAACATTACATTGAGCTAGGCATGGTGGCACACATTTGTAATCCCTGTGCTTGGGAGGTTATGGCAAGAAGATCAGGAGGTCAAAGCCACCATGGACTACACAGCAAGACCTTGTCTCAAGAAACGTCTCAAGGTGACGTGATATCGTACAAGAAGGTACTTACTTTTCTCAGTCTTCACACAACAGCCGTACAAAAAGGCTGCCGATAGTGGGTGAAGAAAAAAACTGCTTTGAACAAAAAACAAGTTTATAGTATAGTGCTGATAGTAAGTTTTTTTGAAACAAAGACAGGAAGTTGTTGGGATATATATGTGTATTTAAGATACCAATCTTCAGTTTTATTTGTAGTACTTAAAAAAATTATAGACATGATATATATATATATATATATAGAGAGAGAGAGAGAGAGAGGAGAGTGCGCGCACGCAAAAAGATGGACTAGACAAAATACAACTAATTCTGAGTGGTAAAAAAATAAGGATGTTTGTTATACTATGTGTTTTCTGATCTTTGAAGTTGATATGTAAAAAGCAATTATAAATTTTTAAACATTTTTATTAGTACATATTTGTAATACATAGTTACATTAATTGTGGGAGCAACATAGATTTTTTATATCTGTAAACAGGATACAAATGAATGAATTTGTTTTTTTTTTCCTTCTGTTACAAACAGCAGCCATCATTGTGATGTGTGTTGTGTATATATAGGAAACACAGAAGGGATTCATAGAGGAAAACAGTGTAGTCAGTTATTCAGCCAAAGAAATGAAGATCCAGAGATTTTAGAGCTCACCAATAGTAAAATACCTTATCATTAGCTGGGATATCCAGGTTTCTTACTTTCTATGGGGTATGAATCCCAGTCAAGTTAAATAATCATCTGAATAATTAGAGCAAAAAATATATAGATTCAATTTCTTGATTACAAGTGTCTGGCAACAAATTAAAAAAAAAGAAAACTACTAGCTAGATACCCAACATCAAGCTTTCCAATCTGTTTTCTTATTACTGGATTGAGAGAGCACTAAGGACATTTGCAAAACTATGCTTTTGTGTATTCCTTGTAGAAGAGCAGAAGAAGAATATTTGCAAGCTCCTGCTGAATAAGAAATGAAAATAATTAGCTGTATGTGGTGGTGCACGCCTATAATCCCAGCACTCAGGAGGAGGAGAGGAAGGAGGATCACAGCTTGAACTACATAGCAAGATCCCGCCTCAAAAAAATTCAAAGCAAAAATGCTAACAAGATACATGAGAATATTCATTCTGAATAAAGAACACTGTTATAGTTAAATATTTCATGATCAAAGTGCAATGCAATGTATGATTATTTATAAACTTTTGGTTGACCAGACAATGTCATTCTGTTAGGGAAAGCATTTTCATATGGTCCATAAACCATATGGATGCTATTACATCATTTACATATTTATGAATTAGCTGGATTTTTTTAAAAATTCTGACTTCTCTATTTGTTGCCTACCTTTTAGAACAAAATGTGCGTGTCTTCAGCTAACATCAAGGAATGCCAAAACTTCTCCCTTGTCAAGTGATGAAATAACTACTGGATATAAGTATAAAAGACTACAAAGACAAATACCTACTGGGTAAGATACCTTGAAGATTAATTGTGGGGTATTTGTATCTGGAAAGGTGGGCGTACTTAATTATTGTGGTCTATAGTCTGATAGATGCTATTATATCTGTCTCTAATACTAAAAATCTAAAATATTAAGGAATAATAATACAAAAAATATCCAGTATATTGATTTGGAACATATATGTATGATGAAGAAAATACTCAAACACTCATTGGCTCTTACCCTCCCGGTAGGGTTGGCCTACTTTGGATAGCCATTTCTTCACTAGAAATATACTGCTCAGTGCTCACCTGAGACTTACTAATTTTCAACCTTTCAAACCTACTATTACCAAATAGCACCTTTAGAAACAGTAGAGAATTTTTCCTCTTAGCATTTCATTCCTGAACATTTAAAAGAGCTAGTATATACTGTATATCAGGCATTATGTCAGATACCTTGTAAACATTGGTTCAGTTGCTTTCACAGAATGGCCCTGTAAAGTAGTTAATATTATATAATCTGTATTTTTAAAGAATAGATAAGATGGGTGTGGTGGTGCAGGCCTGCACTCCAAGGCTGAGGCAGGAAGATTGCTTCCAGGTTCAAGGCCAGCCTGAATTATATGAGACCTTGTCTTAAAACAACACAAAATTAATTAATTAAATAGATAAAAAAACACAGCTAGTAAATGTGGAGGTCTTTGCTGGAAACCCAGGCAGTCTAGCACGCTAGCACTAAGAGCTTTCATACTTAGTCTATTTCTGCCTGTAATTATCTGTGCCAGTGAAGTTACAATATAGACTAGTTTTTGCTTTGCTGGGGTCTGATTTTCTCTACGCATTATTTTATTGACAGCATTTACGAATGTAGCCTGTTGTGCAAGTGTAATCGACGAATGTGTCAAAACCGAGTTGTCCAACATGGTCCTCAAGTGAGACTACAGGTGTTCAAAACTGAGAAGAAAGGATGGGGTGTACGCTGCCTAGATGATATTGACAAAGGGACATTTGTTTGCATTTATTCAGGTAAAACAAAAGTTCATTTTCTAATTACTCTCCAATAAGATACACATTTCTGAATATACATTTTCTAGCTGGGGCTATTAAATCTTACAGAAAGTTAAATAGCAGTAGGGTCTTGGGGAAGTGTTAGAGGTGGCAAATCATTGGTACTTGAGTAGTAAAGAGATGGGATACTTAGGAGGGACCAGAGGTGACAGAAAAGAAAGGCTCAAAGAACAAAGCAGAGTTACCTGAGGGCTTGTTAATGTACAAGGCACATTTTTGTCTGCATGGCTATAGAAATTTTAAAGCCAAGGAAGAAAATTTCTTTTAAACAAGTCAGTGACTGACTTGCTAAGGTAAAGATTATCAGAGACTCTTGTTCAATGTTTTGAACTATCATTAGAATAATCTTTTTTTTTTGGCAGTATGGGGAAATGAACCTAGGGCCTTGGTACTGAGCTATATCCCCAAACCCCCCCAACACACACACACAAACACACACACACACACACCTTACTTGTAAACTTTATGCCTCAGCCTCCCAGAGTTGGGATTAGAGGTATGCACCATGATGCCCAGCTAATAAATAAAAAAAAAATTTTTTTTTTTTTTTGGTACTGGGGATCAAATTCCGGACCTTGCATTTGCATGGCAGGTGGCAGCACAACTGAGCGAAATCACCTGCTTCTATCTAACAAGTTAATTTTTTAAGACATCTGTATATGATGGGTCAGGCCTTTTGGGCACCTTTAGGTGACTCATTTTGTTTCAAGGACCCCAGAATTTATCCATGCTCAGTCTCCTAAGCAGTATGCTACAACTGTGCATTTACTGATTCCTTTGGGCCATGCTTCCAAAACCATACATGTTGTTCTCCAGTCATACCATCCATTCACTTCAGCATTCCAGGCAAAAAAATCCTTGTTTCTGTGATGTAGAAAATCCACATTTCTTACTACGATGTGAGAAAGGTTGGGAAACATGGCTTTAAAGCCAGTCTAAAGTAAGTGTGCTGGCTGGAGTCTTGGCAGCTGATGAGCAGGGACTGAACCAACTTGCTCATCTGAAATTCCAGGTTCAGACCAGAAAGAGCAAGAAGCAGCTCACAGAGGAACCAGAATTTAGAGTAGTCAGACTCAGATCTCTGCTACACTCCAACTATGTGTACATATACTACAAAATGTACCTAGACATTCGTATCTCATATCTCTCAAAGTAACTCTTGAATGGAATCTGCTTATAAAATGCCAGTGGTGTCCAGGAAGTATCATTAATTGTATTTGCATTCCTAGAAAATGTACCTAAGATATCTTTCTGATCCACTAAGGATGGGTGAGAATATCCAGCTGCTAATTCTGAGTTGGCAGCTATAATTTTGAGTTCCTTAAGAAAAAAATGCATAAACTTTAGGCTAAGATTTTAATGTTATGCAGGACTTGGTATGAAAACAATAGGTATTTATCACTAATGTTTTAAATAGACCATTTTCTCAACAATTACTTTCAAATGATAGAGCGTTTTAACTAGACACAGAAGCTGCAATTTTAAGTCTATCATACACCTCTATCTAGAATACTTTCTGATTCTTGTTTTTATTTTATATTACTACTGTACCTGTGGTAGTTACTTTTTTCTCATTGCTGAGACAAAATACTGGACACCCAAAGTTGGAGGGAAAGAAGTTTATTTGGCTTACAGTTCATAGAGGTTTCAGTCCATAGTCTGCTGGCTCCAAGATAGGGATGACACACAGGCCTTGCAGAGGGGAAACAACATGGCACACACAGGTAGCAAAGACAACAGGACAGTTTAATAGCATCTTTCTGCCTCTTTTATCCCATCCACACTACCAGGATTAGGGAGGTACCAAACTAATCACTCATATGTAGTGGTTTAGTAATCACAGGCCCTTAACCCCAGCATCACACATCCCAGATTCAACCACCTCTAAAAAATAAAGTTCTATCTCATCTGTATGAGGCTGTGGGGGGACATCTAAACACAAAACTATAACATTCTGCCCCTGGCCCTCCAAAAACTCATGCATATCCCTTTATACAAAAATGCATTTAGTCCATCTCTGAGAGTTGCTAAAATCCTAACAATTTCAGCATTGCTGAAAAGTCTTAAGTCCAAAGTCTCCTCTTAGATTTAAGGCAAACTCTTAGCTGCAAGCCCCTGTACAAATGAAAAGAAAGAAAAAAACATAACAGTCAATGGTATAAGATAGACATAACCATTCCAAAAGGTACAAATAGGAGGATACAAAGGAATGGGACCAGAGTAAGGCCAAACATTAAGTTCTGTAGTTCCACATGTAGCGTGTCCAAGGTAGTCTGTGGCAAATTGTGAACTCCAGAGGACTTGGGTGTTCCCACCCCTATGGCATTTCTGGTAGTTGTAGCTCCCATGGCTTCTCTCTGGGGCCGACTCTGCTCCCTCTGTAGTTTTCTCTGAGGACCACACACCTGGCTTCTCCAAACTTCTAGGGTCTCAACTGCACCTTTGGCTTTGTGAAGCTTCACATACTGGCCTCTCTGTGATGCCCTGAGGCCATCTTTTCTATTTTTCTCTTCTCACCAATCAAGATCTCTGCTCTATCTTTGCAGTCCACAGCTTTTACTGGAGCTTCCTTTCTGGCCAAACTTAAAATATTTTAAATTATTCTGCTGGGCTCTTTGCTCTTGATTCTCAACACAGATCTGGCTAAAAATCCCCACCAGTAGCCATGCCACTGCCTCAATTTCAACTGCCTTGAAATTTCTTCTGCAATATTAATTATTCCACCACCCCTAATCAGTCTCAGGCAAAATCTCTGGATGCAAATAAAATGCCAACAAACTTTCTGCCAAGACATAACATATATCATCTAGAGTCCAACAGCCAATAGTCCTTCCTAGCAGAAACCCCCTGAACCTGGTCTTTACTGGCCTTCTGATCTTCTGAGCTCTGACCAGAATCTCCCATACAGAACAGCTTGAGGCGTTTCAGTCTCCTCTCCTAATCTTTACTAACTCTTCCCCTTCCCATAAACCAGCTTCAAAGGCTTTCAAGCTACGTGGCCAGTTAAACTGTCACAGCAATGATCCAACTTCTCTGGTATCAAACTTCTGTGTTGCTTTTCTCTTATCACTGAGACAGAATACCCAACACCCAAAGTTAAAAGGGAAGGGTTTTATTTGGCACATAATTTGTAGACATTTCAGTCCATAATCATCTGGCTCCAAGGCAGAGATGGCAAACAGGCACTGCAGAGGAGAAACAACATGGTGTACATGGGTAGCAAAAGTTACAAGAAAGAGCTTTAACAGTGCTTCCCTGCCCTTTTATCTTATCCAGACTACTTAGGGCAGATAGCACTCACACCCGTAATCTTAATGCCCTTGAGCCTAGCATTGCATCATGAATCAATTCCAGCTTCACATACTTTAGATCAAGCCTGTGACCACATGAGGCTTTTGGGGGGACATCTAGATGCAAACCATAACAGTACCTAAATCTCCTTTTTTTAATGCTATACCAAAATGGACAAATATTTCTTTCAAATGCTCTTTTTTTTTTTTACCAGGGATCAGAACTCAGGACCTCGTGCTTGTGAAGCAGGTAGCAGCACCACTGAGCTAAATCCCCAGCCCTCAAAATACTCATTTTTTTAATGGATAGAAGATCAATCCCTCACTGGTGCTTGTTTGTATTAATTATCTTGCAACAGTTTTCTAGGATAAGTTGATGTGTTTATCTTCATTCTAGAAATTCGTTTTGTTTTGTTTTGTTTTTTTGGTACTGGGGATTGAACTCAGAACCTTGCGCTTGCAAGGCAAGCGGCAAAACCACTGAGCTAAGTTCCCGGCCCGACTCTAGAAATGTTATAGCATACAGTCCTTTAGTCATGGATTAGAAATAGAGATGTCCATTTGTTGCTAGCAATTACATTATCTTCTGTCTTGTTCAGATTCTTTCTTTATTATTTTAGGAAGATTACTGAATAGAGCTAACCCCGAGAAACCTAATGCTACTGATGAAAATGGAAAAGAGAATATTATGAAAAATGTATTTTCAAAAAAGAGGAAAATAGAAGTTGCACATTCAGATTGTGAGGCTGAAGTTGGCCCATTAGAAATGGAAACACATCCTAGAAGTGCTAAAACTGCGGACTGTCCACCTAACTTTAGTAATAGTCCAGAAGAGCCTGTGATGTAAGTAAGAGATTAGAAAAAAAAAAAAGTAAGAGATTAGGAACCCTGTTAAAGTCAAATCTAAATTATGGATCAAGAGTGGTTCTTTCTCCTTCTTCTCTAACTCCTTACTTCCCAATCCTATGTATCATCTTGCTTCAAATGTTAGAAACTATACTTTGAGAAATCCAGAGTACTTATTTTTCATGAATGTCATGTTTTATTTTATTTTATGTCATCATTCTATTTCCAGAGTTTTTACAGTTTCTCTTTACTTTTTTAATATACCTCAAAAATTATTGGCTTTGAACTGTGATTATAGTTTCTTCATTAGTGAGTGGTAGGCATAATTGTTATTACATAAATTAATTTTGATATTTATTTAATAGTAATGTTACCTATAATTTCAAGGTTCAATAAAGGGAATTTTTAGCACTACACCAAATAACTCTTTTTTTTCTTTCCAGGGAAATGAACTGTAATAATGTTTCAAGAATTCAATATTACTCAGTTATTACAACTCCTAAATCCAAGACAGTCATTTTTCAAGAGAATGGAAAAAAGATGGTAAAAATTACAAAATGTAGATGAGGCTCTTTTGAGAGCCTTTCTTTACTTAGTTCATAATGTTTATGTCACTTAATAGTGTACAGGATTTTTTGTATTATTTTGGAATAGTTAGGCTGTTGAAGGTGTTAAGACATGTTTTATTAGTATTGTCTGTGGCAGTTGGCATGTTTCCAACTTAGGAATATGAGGAGAATTTTTGGTCATGACCTGAGTGTTGTCCACTAAGACTGAGAGCTGTCTGGGTCTGAGAATTTGTGGAAAGTGTTAAGTGTTCAAAATGAACAGTGATATATAATAAGAAAAAATAATGGGAGTAAATTAGGTTAAGAAGAAGGTCTTGAGATAAGACAAAGAAGAGATGCAACTTTATAAAGGAATCATCCAGAATGCACTTTATGTGGCAGCCTATGATGGATATGTTTTTGAGACTGAGCTTGAAAGACTAGTCAAAGACTGAAACTTGAAACAGAGACACAGGAAAAATAATAGAGACAAACATAGTGGTAACTTATAATAGGCCTTATTGATGAAAAATAAAACTGATTTAAATATTGTATAAATATTTGCCCTCTGCCTAGTTAACAGTAAATAACTTGTCAGTGTCATATGATTTATGAAAAGATGAGGTCATGAGATCACACAGACCTGAGTTTAATCTCCAGCTTTGTTGCCTCCTAGCTGGGTGATATCTCCCTATATTTCTTTTATCATAAAATGAGGATGGTAGTATTTATTTCAGAGTTAGGAGTATTAAATTAGAAAAACATCAGAAATCTTGGTTGGCACTCAGCTGAGAGTTCAGTGTTCAATAAGTGTTGACAATTCAAATGCTAAGAACTTGAAGAAAAAAATAATGGTCAACATTTATCCACCAATTAGTTGGGTGCTGAACATTGTGCTGAGCATAAAATATAACCCTCTTTTAAAGTTACCATTACCACTGAAAAATGATTGTAGTACCTACGATGCATAAAGACAGGCAACTTCTTTGATCTTTTAAAATAAAAACTAGTCAGTGTTTTTTTATCTTTGTACAACTTAACAGTTAAAGCCAAGCTTATAATCTTGTATCAGCACTTTCTTGGTGCTGAGAATGATTACAGTTCAGAGATACAGACATGTATTGGAATTTAGTGCCCAAAGAATGTCTTAATAGTCTTTGTAGCTATGGCTTAATAAAGTGCCAAGAAACAGAGAACAAACAAAAAGAGTAATACATGTTGGCTCCATTCATCTATAGACTCCTTATGAACTCAGCTTTGATGCTTTTCAAAACTAATCTAGTACATACAGACTATGATGACTGACACTTGATGAAAGAGGCCTGTTAAATACTTTTTCCTGATCTAGAATGTAAACATCTCTTTCTTCTTTTTAAGGGACTTATTTCCTTGGATTCTGTCACCTCAGGAGAAAACAATGGATTTGGGAATTGTAAAGGCAGGAGAAAACAAAGTAGGTTTTGTTCCACTTTGTGATTTTCTGCCTCTTCTGCTTGCTTGTCACTTTCTTTCTCCATATTGTGGCTCTTTTTCTTAACAAACTTTCATTTGTCACCAAAGTACAAATTTGTTCAGATTAGAGAGCCAACTATGGATTGTGAGCCAAATCTGGCCTACCACCTGTAAAGTATGGCCCATGAAGGAATGATTTTTAAATAGTTGAAAAAGAATCGGGAATAATATTTCATGACACTTGAAAATTAAATGAAGCTAATAATTTCAGTAGCTATAGTTTTATTGGGATACAGCCACGGTTGTTCATTTACATATTTTCTAGTTTACACTATATCAGCTGAGTAAAATACTTATAAGAGACTGTATCATAGCAAAGCCTGAAATTGTTTGCTTTTTGACCCTTTATAGAAGCTTGCTGACCTTTTGGCCTGATACATGGTTGCACATCTCTGATTTGCATGGTCCACAGATGTTGTCTATGGATTTGGAGGCACTATCCAAAGCAACTACTTTCTCTTAATTTTGAACTCTTTTAAAAAAAAAGATAGATTGCTCTTTTGTGGTAGTCCAGGCAACACCACTGAGAGGATACTCAAGACTCTAGTGAAGGGTTACAATGTTAGTCACCCGAGTGCTTGTCTTTTCGTCCCTGCCCTACTGAATGATACAACTGGGAAAAGCTTGGTTTTGTGGTACTTTTGCATTTCAGTGTCTCCCTCAACAAAGAGGCACTGCTGAGGGATGTCTCTCTTTAAGGGACTAATTCTTGCTGCCTCTTTTCCCTTTGAGTCTCCTTATATCTACAACACTAGCTCCTCACCTAGGGCTAAAGAATAGAGATTGGAGGAGGCATGGTAGCTCCTTGATAGAAAAGTCCTATTAAGAAAGGGCATATGTCACTATTTAGTTGCTATAAGTTGCTTTTGGTTCATATGTCATTTTCTTTTCTTTTTTTTTTTTATCCTCTCTGCTATCTATTTTGAAATATGCCATTAATTTTTGCCAACCATAGTTAACCTGCTACACTGTATATAGAACATTAGAACTTTGGAAGTTATTCTGATATAAAGAGAACATTACATAGAACATTGTAAGTTACTCCTCTTTCCCAGCTGTGCCCATATACTTGTTAACCATCCTCTTTCTACTCTCTTCTCCCCATGCCCTTCCCAGGCTCCAGTAATTATGATTCTACTCTAGCTTCTGTGAGATCTATTATTTTCTTGTGCCCCGCATTAGGTGGCACAGTGGCTTTATGTTGATGCTTTCACTTACTCATTTAACATTCATTCAGGATTTTGAATAATCTTAGAAAATTGTTTCATAATTGGACAGGAAAAATAATTTTTTTTTTGTACTGGGGATCAAACTCGGGACCTTGTGCTTGCAAAGCAGGCAGCAGCACCACTGAGCTAAACCCCTGGCACAGGAAAAATAATTTAGTGCATCTACTTTTGAAGTATTATTGTTTATAAAAGTATACTTATTAATAATTATCTAGCAAAACACCAAACATGAACAGGTACAAACCCCTCACAGCACCGTTTTTGCTGTAGAGATTTGTAGAGTGACTTGACAGTCTTCTCAGGCCTTTTCATGGGCAATAGGGGCCTAAACTGCCTCCTAAATCCCCATTCTGTTGCATCTGTTTAGAATGTAGTTAAATACAATTTCAGAGTTGAAGAAAGTCTATTTGTTAAGATTAGAGATTAGAACTGGGGATGTGGCTCAGCAGTCCTGCACCTGCCTGGTAAGTGAAAGGTCCTGAGTGCAATCCCTGGTATTGCCCAAAAAAACAAAAGATTAGAGATTAAATATAGTAATGAGAAAGCAACCTGTAGATTCATAAAGATATTGCTCTAGAGTAGAAAGAGGACACTTTATGATCTAAGCATATTTGAATTTGTTTCCTCTTGTATTAGAAGTCAGGCAAATCTGTTTAACTCTCAGAAACTCAATTTTTTTTTTTTTTTTTTTTTTTTGGTACCGGGGATCGAATTTGGGACCTTGCACTTTCATTTCAAGGCAGACAGCGGAACCACTGAGCTAAATCCCTGGCCCTCAAATTTTTTATTTGTAAAATTAAAGTAATACTACCTACCTTAACAGATTGTAAAGATTAGTGATAAATACAGCAACTAATATCTAATTAGTATTATTTATCTCAGCACTCTTATTCAGTTATATATATTTCCTGACATTCCTTCCTGACAATGTCTATTAGAGGACTCAAGTTCAAACCAAGTTGGAGATTCTGAGGATAATCAGCTTTGTGAATCAGATGTGATAGATATAACTAAATGTAGAGAAGAAACTCCACCAGGGGGCAGATGTAACCCAGCAACCACATTTGACAATGAAAATATTAAAAAACAGTTTGAGGTTCAAATTCAAAAGCCCCAAGAAGAAAAATCTCCAGCGCATCAAAACCAGCAGGCTTTGTCTGATGATGAGTTGCCAAGTGAAACCAAGAATACTTCATGTACTTCTCCAGTGAAGTCCAGTAAAGTGAATATGTTTTTATTGGATGCCACGAAAGAAGGAAATGTGGGCCGCTTCCTTAATGTGAGTATAGGTGCTGAAGTTGATATCTCTCAAGTTTTCCCCTGTGCTTCTTTTAAAATGTCATGAGGAAAATATGATTTAACAAATTCTAAAGCCAGAACACCTGGATTAGGGTTCCATTCTTCAAGTAGTGCATCTGAAATGTTTCTGAACTGCTAATGCCTCTATAATTTAGTAATAGTATTTAAGTAATAATAACTATTTAAGATATTAAGGAATAAATGACTTAATATACAGTGCTTGAAATTAACTAGTAAACATTTGCTTTAAAAAAATGACTTCTAAGAAACAGTAGTTTAAGAAAAGAATGTAAGTATATGAAAAGGTCCTGAAGCCTATCTGCCCAAGCTGAAAAAAATCTATGGTCAGGAAGAAATCATTGAAATTAAATGATAGTACACTTGTCATCTGAATGAGTCCTACGACAAATGAGTAATTTTGAGATAGCTGCTAATTAGCAACTGAACAGTATTGGAATGTTGGCATGGTGGTAATGTGAGGAAAGAGTATTATCAGTATAAATAATGGCTGTGTTTAGCAAAGAAATCAGTTCTTTACATGTCTCCCCTCCAGAGGTCCTGTTTTGTACTAGGATGTAACAGTTTAAGTAAGAGTATATGTTTGTTTTGTTTTTGCAGTATTGGGTATTAAACTCAGGGCCTCTGTACTGAGCTACTTCCCCAGCCCTTTTTTATTTTGAGACAGGCTCTCACCACTGTGCCCAGGCTGGGCTCAAACTTGTGATCCTCCTGCCTCAACCTCCCAGAGTGCTGGGATTACAGGGATAAGTCAGTATGGTATATATTGTTCATATTTCTTTTGTGCCTAGCGTGGCGGTACACACCTTTGGTCTCAGTACCCAGGAGGCTGAAGAGGTGGATCACCATGAGTTTAAGGACAGCCTGGGCTACATAGTGAGTTCAAGACCAGGCTAAACTACATAGACTTTGTCTTTAAAAAAAAAAAAAAAAAGACTTTTCTATAAAAAATTGTTTTGTTTAAAAAAATACTTTAAAAGCCCTACCTTAAGAAGTACTATGACCCCATCCACCTTGTCCCCATTTTTATTACTTTCTTGTGTATTGCTCTAGTATTTCTGCAAAGTAAATATATGTTTATCCCCTTTTTACATAAAAGATAGCATATTGCATTCACTGTCCTACATTTTAGTTTTTAAATTAAAAGTATAAGCCAGACATAGGGGCATACACCTGTAATCCCAGCACTTGGGAGACTGAGGCAGGAGGATTGCCACAAGTTCAAGGTCCACCTGGGCTACATAGTGAGTTCAAGGCTAGCCTGAACTTTAATATATATATTGAGTCTTTGTCTCCAAAAAGCCCCCCAAAGTTAATTAATTAAAGGCATATCCTAGAGAGCTTTATATATCAGTACAAAGAGACAGCTACTTAATCTTTGTTTATATGTTGTTTTATAGCCGCACAGAATTTCATTGTGTAAATCTATTGAGGTTTATTTAAGCAGTCTCTCTGTAGGCATACATTAGGGTTATATACAAACCTTTACTGTTAAAACCAATGCTCTATGAATAAATTATAGATATATATGCAGATGAATCTGTAGGATGCATTCCTAAATACAGGATTGGTGGATCAAAAATTAAATGCATTTATAGTAATAATAAATACTGACATTATTCCCAGTTTTGGGTGCTATTTGCAATTCTACCACAAGATATCAAAGTCTCGCAAGGGATTTAACTCAGTGATGCCGCTGCCTGCCTCGCAAGCGCAAGGTACTTGCAAGGTTCTGAGCTCGATCCCCAGTACCAAAAAAAAGAAAAAGATATCAAAGTCTCCGAGCAGCTTTTCTGAATTGGAGATGGTGGTGCATGGCCATAATCACAGCATTCAGGTGGCCAAAGCAGGAGGATGGCTGAGTTTGAGGCCAACCTGGGCTAATTACTGAGTTCAAGGCAGCCTGAATTATATAGCAAGACCCTGCCTCAAAAATAAAAAACACCAGAAAATTTTTTTCTGAGTAGGTTCCTGCTATTAACAGAACTGTCATGAGTTACAGTATTTTATGTATTAGCACACACAAAAACAAAAAGCAATGAGATATGTTAGAAACAGAATGGTATTCTAATACTAAGCACAAAGTATCAAACTTTATAATATATCTAATCTCTGTTTTCGATTTTTTTACAGCATAGTTGCTCTCCAAATCTCTTGGTACAGAATGTTTTTGTAGAAACACATGACAGGAATTTCCCATTGGTGGCATTCTTCACCAACAGGTTTGAAATTACTTTTGCTTATATGAATTGATTCTTAAGTGATACTTTAAAAAATAATGTAGCCAGGCATGGGGGCACATACCTGTAATCACAGAACTCTGACAGCAGAAGAATCACAAATTTGAGTCCAGCCTGCACAACTTAGAAAGACCTCGTCTCAAAATTTAAACAAGGCTTAGGAGATAGCTCAGTGTGAAAGCCCTGGGTTCAATCTCCAGTACTCAGAAAAAGAAAAGAAAAAAAAAATGTAGTGTAGCTTCCGAATATCTTGTATCCTAGAATACAGTGTTCAGTTATCCTAAACTGATCCTAGCCAATAAAATTTTGAACACTTAAGATTTCTTTTCTTTTGGCACCAGGAATCAAATTCGGGTCCTTGCTCTTACAAGGCAGGCGGCGGAACCACTGACCTAAATCCCCAGCGCACGATTTTTATTCTTACTCTTACTTAGAATTTACCTTCTGACAGAGCTGAGGATACCAGATCTTACCCAGTTCAGTTCTAGAGATAAATGACAATGCTGTATCTTCAAGCGCCCCCATCTGCTTCCATATAAAAGCTTCACATTTGCACAACATAATTCTCATAGATATGAACAGCTTCCTTCTTCCTTAGGACTTTGGTACATTTGTAATAAAACTCAAGTGGTTATTCCTAATCCTGTTAGGTGTCATGGAGAATAGTTTTAGGATGGTTAATATTGTTAACATGAGGGCCAGGAATTTAGCTCAGTGGTGCTGCCACCTGCCTCACAAACAAGTGGAAGGTCCAGAGTTCGATCCCCACTACAAAAAAAAAATAGTTAACATGAAATTGTCATATTCAAGTTTGATTCATGTGTGGTTAGAGTGATTTATGATTCTTTTTAATTTCTATTTTCTAGGTTTGTGAAAGCAAGAACAGAACTAACATGGGATTATGGTTATAAAGCTGGGACTTTGCCTAACAAGGAAATCCTTTGCCAATGTGGGGCTAACAAGTGTAGAAAAAAAATATTATAAATATGTACTTAATGCCTGTCTTGAAATTAGTGTTTTAGGCTAAAAACAGAGCCATACAAAAGAACCTTGTTATCAATAGAATTTAGGTTGGTGTCCACCAAGGCAATTCCTTTATTTACCCTGATAAGGGTTTCATATTTGTGCGTTTGTTTTTTGTTTGTTTGTTTTTTGTTTGTTTGTTTTTTGTTTGTTTGTTTTTTGTTTTTTTTTTGGTACCAGGGATTGAACTCGGGTCCATTTTCTACCTAATTTTGTGTGGTATAGAAATGCCAAGAACAAAATAAGGACATTTTCAGACACAAAGTATCTCTTGTTTTTACTGGTGTTCAACTTTATATGAGTAGAATGGAAATATATGTTTTATATAAAATACCACTGTACATCTAATAACTTATGTGTAAATTATATATTAAGAAAACTGAAAGTCACAATAGAATTCAGCTGTTTTTCTGATTTTTTTTTTTTTTTTTTTTTTTTTTTTGAGACAGGGTCTCACTATGTAGTTGAGACTTACCTGGAACTCACTATGTAGCCCAGGCTGGTCTCGAATTCACAGTGATCCTCCTGCCTCAGCCTCCCAAGTGCTGGGATTACAGGCATGCGCCACCACACCTGGCAAATTCAGCTGTTTTTAAAGTTCCTTTAGGGTTCTGTTCCCTCTTGTATTGAAGGAAAAACTAAAAGAAAGATAGAAATTTATTCAGGAGCTTCTCCTCCCCAGTCAAATTGTTGATGGCACATTATTTCACTAAATAAGATATAACTTCAACAGTGTGAAAATATTTTGGAGAGTATTTGCTTAGAATGCATGAAGCCCTGGATTCAATCCGCAGCACCACCAAAAATCCCCACAAAAAACAACTTTGGGAGTTATATGTAAAAATTTTGTTTATAGGATTATCTCTGCCATGGTCTTCTGTTCCTTTTATTTCTTTTACTGGATGCTGGTAAGAGCTTTCAATATGAAAACTTGAGTCTCTCAGTACATAAAATTTTTCTTGAACTATTTCTGTAAGGATTTCTCATTTCTTCTCTGGAATTCCTGTTATCTAACTGTTAAACTTGCCAGGGATGTAGCTTAGTGGCACCGTTCCTGCAAGCATAAGGTCCTGAGTTTAATCCCTCATACCAAAAAAATGAAAATAAAAATAAATGTTATACCTGCAGGACTGGTTCTCTCATTTTCTAATTTCCAGCTCTGACTTCTTGCTCTTCTTTCTGGAAACTTTCCTTAACCTTCAAATTCACCTATTTTATTTTCCTGGTCTCATTTTAATATCTAAGTGCTTTTCTTTGAATATTTTCTCTAATAGCATCTTATTTTAGCCTATGGTTACGATATTTTATCTCTTTGAATATATTTGTGTTTGTGTTTACACATATATACAGTAATACCTTGGTTCACGAACACCTCTTTTTGCAGATAATTCAGTTCTCAAACAAAAGCTTTCCACAAAGATTTGCTTCTATTCACAAACTCTGAATCTGAGACATGACCACGGCTATCTTCCCCAAAATCGTAAAACAAATTTAAGTTTATAAACCTAGACACCACTTTATGTACATGCATTCATATCTATACCTTTCTACCACATTCACTGTTCTGGTTTCCTTTTCCCTGTACATTTGCTTTGGTCTTTATTTTTCATGTTACAGATTTTCCTTAGAATTAGTAATTGGTCATCTACTCTTATTTCAGAGTGGGTGCAAGAGCCTTAGGACTGCTTTACCGTTACCTACCTGAGCAGTTGTTGAGAAATTCCTTAATGTTAGTATGTTCAGAGCTTTCTTTGGGGCCTGAAAAGGGCTACTCTTTCATCCTCCTACCTGGAAGTCAAGTTGGATGCTACAGTCTGCTTATTTCCTGTCTTGCAACTCCTAGTCTTTTAATCCATTTCAAAATAGTAAAGATTGAGTTGCCCGTTTTAGTACAGTTTGGGTTTTCTGATGTCTCCAATTTGCATTTTCCCCCTTTAGACCTTCCTCAAAGTGCAAGACCTTCAGAAGTTTTCCTTACCAGTAGTCCCTCAACAAACCATTATATATGCTTTTCCAAAACTTTTTTTCCTTCAGTCTCTCCCCCTCCTTTTTTTTTTTTCTTTCTTTACTTTCTGCTTTTTTTTTAAAAGCAGGGTCTCACTAAATTGCCCAAGGCAAGACTCATACTTGGGATCCTCCTGCCTCACTCCCTAAATACTGGGGGTATGGTGTGGGCCATCGCACTTGGTTTATTCTTTAATTATATGTACTTACGTTGTCTACATGTATATTTGTGACGTGCACTGAAAACCTGGTCTTGTATGGTGCTCTGTACCCCATGGGTGCTAAATAAAGGCTTGTTACTGCAACTGGTTGTTAAGGTCTGTTAATTGTGTCCGTTTGGATGTCTATTTAAGCCAAAATCGCGTGATAAAACTTTCAACAAACCTTGGGGAAAACGATCGCTTCTTCAGTGGAGCAGGGGAGCGCGGCGGCATTCTAGGAGTGCCTGGCCCGGCGTATTTTTTTTTTTTTTCAAGCTGTTCAAATCACTGCTCTGCTGGGGAAACCATGGAGACGACGCTTCTCCGGAGCACGCTCGTCCCGACCCCCAGACTTGCCGGGTGGAGGGCAGCTCGCGGAGAGCGCCGGGATTTGAGGAAACAAAACCGCGCCGCCCCGCACTTCCGGGAGCGCCGACGCAGAGGGCCTCGGGCCACTGCAG